CTAGGAGATTTAGTGTTTCTGTTTTAATGTTTAGTTCTTTAATCCAGTTTGACTTTAGTTTAGTGCATGGTGATAGACCTGGGAAAAAATTCTTGTATTTCAATACTGGCCATGGTGGCACATGCCTGTAATCCTGTTTCAAAATTACCCCCAAGAAAGTATCTTGAAGCAGGGTTTTTTTGTTTGTTTGTTTTTTGCAGAACCAGGGATTGAACTCAGGCCCTTGCCTTTGCCAGGCAAACGCTTATTCTACTGAGCTATCTCTCCGGCCCCTTGAGGCAGGTTGTTTATCACTAGATTGCTCAAGTTGGCCAGCTTCCTAAGAGTAATCACTATAGCTTTGTGTTATCATATGTAGCTTCATGTTGATTTATGTAGTTCTCTTTTGACACTGGGGGTTGGGTCCAGGACTCTACACACAAGTCCTGAACTTAAAGTTAACTGCTGACCTGCACCTCCAAGCCTCCAGAAGTACGAGGGTTTTTTTTGTTGTTGTTTTTGCAATCCTGGGGGTGGATTCATATTGAGCTGACTCCTAAGACCTTTTTTTGGCGGCTGGCTCAGTGTGCCCTGGGGGCGGGGCTGGCACATCATGTAGTGCCGGGGATTAAACCCCGGTCCTTGCACTTGCCTAAGTTGCCTAAACAGGTGCGTTAGACTGCTGAGTTATCTCCTTGGCCCTCTAAGCCTATTTTGAGATAGGATCTCTAAATTGCCCAGGCTGGACTTGAACTTGGGATCTTCTTGCCTCCGTCTTCCTGGGTTTGCCGAAGTGTGCCACTGAACTTGGCTGACTGGCTTGTTTGTTCTTTTTCTTTCTTCCTTCTGTTCTCTCTCTGTCTCTGTTTCTGTGTCTTTTTTTCTTTCCCCCTTTGTCTGTCTGTCTGTCTTTTTTCCTTCCGCCTGCCTGCCTTCATTTCTGATATTGGGCATTTAATAATCCTGTACCTTACCCCTGAGTTATATCTTCAGCCCCTTTTAAAAAAAATTTATTTATTTATTTATGTGTGTGTGTGTGTGTGTGGGGGGGCAGCTCAGCCCACCAGGGGGCGGGGCTGGCTGGCATGTGGTGCTGGGGGATTGAACTGCGGTCCCTGTGCTTTGCTAAGCTTGTTCTAAGTAGGTGCTTTAGACCACTGAGCCATCTCAGCAGCCCCCTTCAGCCCCTTTTATTTTTGAAATAAGATCTTAGACTGGGCATGGTGGCATGCACCTATAATCCCAATGCTTGGGAGGCTGAAAATAGGAGGATCACTATGAGTCCGATCTGTGGAGTGAGACCCTGTAGACTCTATACTAAATACATTGAAAAAAAAAAAAAGGATCTTATTAGGTTGCTAAATTGCTCAGTTGTTTAGGCTGGGCTCAAATTGGCAACCCTCTTGCCTCAGTCTCGGTGCTGGGGTTACAGTTGTGTATCACCATACTTCGGTTCTGTTGAATTTTTTGACAGCTCTAATAATGTGAGTTTTCAAGCCATTTTGCTCTCCAGGGGGACATGTAACAATATTTGGAGACAGTATGATGGTCACGATGGGGGAGGAGTGCCACTTGGGGTTGTGTGAAGACTGGGGTGCTGCCAGGCGTGGTGGCACACACCTGTAATCTCAGCATTTGAGAGGCTGAGGCAGGAGGATCACTGCAAGTTCAAGGCCAGCCTGAACTGCATAGTGAAATCCTGTCTCAAAAAATGACTGATAGAAAAAACAAAAAATGTATAATACACACATACATACACATATACATATATATACATGTATCACATATATATGTATATGTATATGATACATGTGTAAATGTATATATATTTATATTTATGTTTATTTATGTATTTATTTTGGGGTGACCCTGAGCATCCTTCCATGCCCAGCCTCCCACCCAGGAGTGTTTGGGCACGGCAGAGGTGAGAACCTCTGGCTGGTACTGCATGCTGCATCTGTGGAAGAGGAGCTTGGCAGCAAGGGTGTGTGTGGTCAGGGCGTGTGCGCCTTGTGCCTGCCGAGCAGTGAACATGCTATGGGCCACTGTGGGAGCCCCGTAACCCTAGGCCTGCTGGTGTGGCACCCAGCTGGCAGAGACCCTGTGTCTCTTGGGTTCTCTCTAGCACCATCGCATAAACCAGGCCATGGGTGTTGGATAGGTCGCGTGTAACTGTTACCGAACTGCTTTGCAGTAGATTCCATTATTAGTCTGTCAGAGGTACCATGGAAGATGCCTTTGTTTCTTGTTTTCAGGCAGAAACTAGGAAAATAAATTTTTTTAAATTTTATTTATTTATATGTGTGTGTGTGTGTGTGTGTGTGTGGCCAGCTCAGCCCACCAGGGGGCGGGGCTGGCTGGCATGTGGTGCTGGGGGATTGAACCATGGTCCCTGTGCTTTGCTAAGCTTGTTCTAAGTAGGTGCTTTAAATTTCATTTATTTATGTGTGTGTGTGTGTGTGTGTGTGTGTGTGTGTGTGGCCAGCTCAGCCCACCAGGGGGCGGGGCTGGCTGGCATGTGGTGCTGGGGGATTGAACCGTGGTGCCTGTGCTTTGCTTAGCTTAGCTTGTTCTAAGTAGGTGCTTTAGACCACTGAGCCATCTCACCAGCCCGGAAAATAATTCTTAAACTATAGGAGTTGCTAGGTAATTTCGGATGCTTGATTTGGGGGATGGCCATTTTGGGGGCAGTTATCACTGTGAGAAAAAGGCAAGGGGCCAAGGAGGAGGATCCTGGGGCTACAGCAGCAGGTGGCCGTGGTTGCTAAGGATACCAGTTCTTTACCGGTGGGCCGGTGGCGTGAGGCGGCATGAGGTCAGTCGTATCTGTGCTATTTTCTTTGTTCCTCTCCTAGTGCTATTTCCTCTCTGTTTTGTAGCTATTCATTGCTCCATGCTTCAAGAAAAACATTTAGCAATGTCAAGGTCAGCATCTCCAAGCAGTGGACCCCGAGTGCCTGGAACACATCTGCGGAGCTGCCAGCGGAGGTGAGCAGTGAGCTGGGGGTGAGGGGTGTGCCCACCCTGAGTGCTTCTGGAAGTCTCTTCCCTCATTTCCCTGCTTAGGACTCGAATGTTCTTCTTCTTTTTTTTTTTTTTAATTTTTATTTATTTGTGTGTGTGTGTGTGTGTGTGTGGCCAGCTCAGCCCACCAGGGGGCGGTGCTGGGGGATTGAACCGCGGTCCCTGTGCTTTGCTGAGCTTGTTCTAAGTAGGTGCTTTAGACCACTGAGCCATCTCACCAGCCACTCGAATGTTCTTCTGATTTCAAGGCTTTTGTGTTTAAGTTTTAGCCAAATAGTGTATTTCTTACTGTTTTAAAACCACACACAGTTCTGGCTAGGCTATTGTTTTAATTGAGTTTTGCACAAACCAAGTGTATTTCTGCCCTTGAGATTTCTGCTTTTATTATTTTTATCGTATTATTACTTTTATGGTATTGAAGAGTGACCTCAGGGCCTTTGTACTGAGCTACATCTCAAACTCTTTATTTGATGTTGTTATTTATTCATTTATTTTAATGTGGGTAGTACAGGGTCTACAGGGTCTCACTACACAAATTGAACTCATGGCGATCCTCCTGTTTTCAGCCTCCCAAGCTCTGGGATTATAGGTGTGCATCACCACACCCAGTCACCCTCTCGGTGTACTCTGGGGGTGGGGCAGGCACCGCTGTTTGTTTCAATTATTTATTAATTGGTATACAGTATCACTATGCAGCTTGGATTTTTAAGTGATCCTCCTGTCTAAGCCTCCCCAGTGCTGGGATTACAGGTGTGTGACACCATGGCTACGGTGTGCCTGGGCTCCTGGGGTTGGCATGGTATGCGGTACTAGAGATTGAACTAAGGACCATGTTTGCCAGGCAAGTGAGACTGCCAAGCTATCTCCGCAGCCTTCTATTTTTTTGAGACAGGTTCTCGCATAGCAGTTCAGGCTGGCTTCAAAATGACTGTATAGCGCCGGCCAAATAGCTCAACGGATTAAAGCACTTGCAAGCAGGCGCAGGGGTTGGGGGTTCAATCCCAGCGTACTGTGCCAGCCCTGCCCCTGGGCATACTGAGACAATTGAGACTGGGCGTGGCAGTGCACACCTGTAATCCCAGCTCTTGGGAGGTTGTAAACCGGTGGGTCCTTACAAGTCTGATCTAGTAGTGAGATGCTGAACACCCTGTAGGCACTTCCCTAAAACACACACACACACACACACACACACACACACACACACACACACACTATATAGTCCAAGCTTGAACTCATGGCAATCTTCTTACCTTAGCCTCCTGAGTGCTGGGATTGGAGGTGTGTAATATCATGCCTGACTAACTTTATCTGGAGACGGGGCGTTGGTAAGTCACTAAATTACCCAGACTGAGCTCCGATTTGCAGTCTTCCTTCTTTACCCTCCAGAGTGCCGGGATCACAAGCCTGTGCCACCATGTCTACCTGTTTATCTCTCAAGAGCTCTTTCATCTTTTATGACCTATCTAAATTTGGCCTTTGTGGATGAGGTAACATGTCACTTTTGCTATCCAGCTTTTTCCCCCATCTTCTGATTCTTTCCATCACTGATATTACATGGTTTAGCATTTCAGTATTTACTGAAACATTTCTCTAATCATTTCATTTGTTTGTATCTTGGCATCAGGAATGTGTATCCTGGTTCTTCCTCTTCATTATTGATGTAGCTTAGGACAAGGGTACCATCCTTACAGTGCCTTTGCTCAGTACACAAATTCATCTCATTCAACATTTATCACATTTCTTGAGTTATGTTTTTGTATGGAAGTGTAGATAACCTGTTGTTTGGATGTTTTATTTCTCAAAAGTTATTTCTCCTATTTAAGCCCCTTCAGAGTTGGCAGAGGTTTGAGGGTTGTATAAGTTATCCTGGAGAGTGACTAAGTTAGTAGTTATTAGGCAGTTGTCCTTTTTTTCCCCATATTTTTTAGGGAAGGGTCTACAGGGTGTTCAGGATCTTGCTACTAGATCAGACTTGTAGTGATGCGCCTGTTTACAGCCTTCCAAGAGCTGGGATTACAGGTGTGTGCCACCACACCCAGTCTCAATTGCCGTCTCAGTGGGCCCCAGGGGTGGGGCTGGCATGGCTGGCCCAGGAATCAAATCCCTGTCCCCTGCGCCTTTAATCCACTGGGCTATTTGGCCAGCCCTGGGCAGTTGTCTTGCATGAACATTTTCCTAGACCCTGAAGATGTGAAAACACAAAGCTGAGAATAAAAAGCAGAAAGGGCCTGGGGATGTAGCACAGTAGCACAGTGCCTACCTGACAAACCTGAGGTCATGAGTTTGACTCCTGGTACAAAACCCCAAAAACCAGAAGAGAGCATGTCTTCCTGGAGCTTCCTTCCTGGAAGAGGTGTTTCCATACTATTTTTCTAGAATTTAAACTAGATGTAGTGGGCCGGGGAGATGACTCAGTGGAATAAGCGCTTCCCTGGCAAGTGCAAGGGCCTGAGTTCAATCCCCAGTTCTGCAAAAAAAAAAAAAAAAAAAAAAGAAACAAACCCTAGATGTAGAGAATAATGACCAGATCGCAGCCGGAGCCTGAATGACAGTTAACTGACATGTCAGATGGGTTTGCTGAGTTGCAAAGCCTAGAGGTGGAAGTGACCAGCGTTTGTCATTGTCCGGAGCTAACCACCCAGTTTCTGCTTTAGTGCAGCGAGAGGGGGCGTGTGTTAATTGTCACTCATCTGAGTTCTTCTGCTTCCTTCCACTGCAGCTTTGTGGTATTGAGCACTAAGTGTGGCCTTCAGGTGTGGCCCGGCCTGGGCCCCAGAGCAGGTGGCTCTCATTTAGGCCTTTGTCTCTTAGGTACCTGGGGTGGGGCCCTAAGACCACCCCCAGGGTCAGTGGCTCAGGAGGAAGAGCCACAGGCCCAGCGTGCAGCACTCACTGTTGATTTATTACTGCTAAAGGACACGAGGACACCCAGCAAATGGTGTGAAGCTGTGGGAAACCAGGCCCACACTTTGACAGCATTTCCCAGGATGTCTTTAGTTTTTCAGCTCAGACTGTGACAACACAGGGGAAGTGTTGGTACCTGGGGAGCTCGTTAAGGATTTTACTGGAACAGGTGTAGGTCCATTTGTCTGTCTGTACCAAGAGTCCAGCTCCCAAAGGGAAGCAGGGCTTCTCCATACACCACACTTGGGCACAAGGCTGAGTCGCTACTACCAGAGAATGGTGGGAGCCACCGTGGGTCTAGGTTCCCAGGTGCCAGCCTGGGGCCACCATGAAGCAGGCTGTGCCTGGGGAACACCTCCCGCCTGGGACTCTTCTGGGGAACTGGTCACATTGTTAGCTTAATAATTTTTGTTTCTTTAATGTGCTCACTCTAATTGCTGCTAAAAGAGATTTTGCCTTTCTCCGTTCTCTCTCTCTCTCTCTCTCTCTCTCTCTCTCTCTCTCTCTCTCTCTCTTTTGGCAGAACTGGGGATTGAACTCAGGTCCTTGCACTTACCAGGGAAGTGCTTATTCTACTGAGCCTTCTCTCTGGCCCCCTCTGCTTTCTCTTTTCAGGACTTCAGGTTGTATAGTTTGGGTTGATGGTTGTGAGTGCTGGGTTCCCCTGAGGAGCTTTGAGTCAATTGGTGGTCTGCCCACCCCCGGCTGGGAATTAAATCTTGGGCTTGCACTGAGCTACCCTTCCTTTTCTTTTGAGCCAGGGTCTCACTAAGTCACTCATTGCCCAGACTGGCCTCCAGCCCTTATGATCTTCCTGCCTCAGTCGCTCCAGTGCTGGGATTATAGGTGTGAATCATACCTAGGGCTGTGTACTAGAACTTTTCTGAGCTCTTAGTACAGTTATTTTGGTTGGGGCTGTGTTATTAAAATATACTTTTGTTTCCATTATCCTATTTTCTGACTTTTTTAAAAAAAATGTATTTAGTACAGGGTTTATAGGGTCTTACTATGTAGATCTGACTTGTAATGATCCTCTTGTTTTCAGTCTCCCAGGAGCTGGGATTACAGGTGCGTGCCACCACACCCAGTCACCATCCTGGGGGCGGGGCCAGCATGGTATGCTGGGATCGAACCCTGGCCACTGTGCTCTCCCTAAGCAGGTGCTTTAGTCTGCTGAGCTATCATGCTGGCCTTTATTTTCTGAATCTTTGTGTCAGTT